ACCAGTGGAGTCGTTTTATTGCCCCAACCTTTTTCGACCCTCGGATTACGGGACCAGCTAACCATTACCCCGCTAGTCATGACCTACACATTACCGGCGCAGCGTTGCGTGTTCGCGGTACTTGGCCAATTTTGATGTATTGACGTTTCCTTGTACATATTATGCTTTCAGGAAATAAATCATTCTCATTCTCATTCTCATTCTCAAGTGTTTGTAATATGTGTTTTTGTGTGAACTTCATGTACTTTATGTCTTTTTGACGAGCTCAACCGCGGGCGAAATGTGTTGATTTTGTGTTTCTTCGCTTTGAAGATGTGCTCATTGTAGCACGAAACAGCTGTCGTGTGTGACAACTATACAGGATCATTTTAGGTAAGGTAAAATAAACAATATTCTTTTATTTTAATGATCCAGAGGCTTTCCATCATGACATTGTTTTGTTATGTTCAGTTTATGAGGTAGTTAGGTTTTAAAATGAAGTAAACATTTCCAAGTCTAGTTTAATATTATTTTAATAAAAACCGTATATGTTTCAAACTGAAGCATTTTTATTTGTAGTTGTAACTAGATTTTTATTTAAATGTTATATATAAAATAGCCTAGTGTTAAAAACAGCTTATATTTTTTTTCTCGCTAACTCGAGAACTCTGTACATAGGCCTATTGGAAAGAACACTTAATGTTTTGTTATTCGTGTGTTGAACATAGAATAATGCACTCCAAATACAGTACTATTCATTGTTTTATGGGAGTTATATAGGTAGACAAACGGTACTTCGTTTTAGCGAATTTCCCATGATAACTCGAGCAAAAATGATCTGATTTTGATGAAATTTGGTACAAACGTGTAAACCTACGTTTATTTGAGCGAGTTCGCGAACCAGCATGATCGGACCATGGGAACGGGGGTTTATGGGGTAAAAATGGGTTTTTTCCCATTTTTTACCCAAAAAACATAAAATTTTGCAATTTCTTTCTTAACTATTTTGTAGAGCTTAAAAAAACAATTTTTTTAGTATATTGAAGCGTTATAATGCGCCTAATAGTTACGGAGAAAATTCCAAAAAATTGTAAATTTAAAATTTCCATGTTATTCTTATGGAGAATAAGTAAACTGTTGTTGTTTGCTTGTTTATAAACATATTTTGCCCAAATTTGGAAAATGTTTTTATTTCTTACTAACTATTAACATTTTACATAAAAAAAACTTTTACCCTTCCTGTTGCAGCAAACCTAAGTATGTGTAAAACTGATTCTATTTCAATAGGGAATAAATGTGATATTTTTAAGGAGACATTTTAGTGTAAATCCATTCAGGGAAATGGAAATTCGCTTAGTCTGCAGGTTTGCTGCGGCGGGGGTATTTAAATTTGTAATTTTAAATAAAATGTTAAATAACTCAATTATTATCATTGATATGGTATTTTACATTGTAAAATCTTTAAAGCAGATGTGGTTTGTAATAGAATTCCGTTTAAAACATGTTTCTATCGTGTCTAGTTCACGAGATATGAGCGATGTTCTGGAACGCCTCAGCGCTGCTTCCCTTTCTCCCCCCCCCCCCCCCCCCCAAAGTTGTGCATCTGCTGGGAGGGCGACAACATCGGTTTCTATAATCTCCAAGATGCGCCCAGCAACGCCCAGTAACAATCAAAAGCCAAAAAGAGTTACACTTTCAGTGCATACTCAACCCCCTATAGATGCTGGACTACAAGATAATTGATTTCTCGGTTTTGGATTTTCTCGTAAAAAGTTATCGGCAATCAAAGTTATTTCCCATTAATTGCTTTATTCGTAAACAACTTTTAATGTAAACTTATTGGTGTCCGTAAAAAAAACCTTATACAAACAACTTTTGTTATTTAATAGATTACGTAATCTCTAAACGATGATTAGTATACCTTTTAACATTAGAAGTAAATGTCACAAAAATCACACAATGCTTGGTTTTTGGACGTTGGAAATTTTATTTCTAAATTAGAGAGGCCGTGTATTCTAGAGAAAATAACCGGTAACAAGGATCGTCGTCGAAAAGGTTGTTATGAATAATTGGGTAGGCGTAAGTACCCTAGACTATTGGACTATTGGCTGTATGGTTCAGCAATTGCATCTCACGGTGAGTAGGAACAGAAAGTGACACATTGGAAAAGCGAGTTTAGCATAATCAATATATCGTAAACCTCTGTTTCAATCACCCACTGCAGTTGTGATTTTTTACTTTACACTTTACACAACCGCTATTGAAGTGCCGTCAATGAGTGGAAACCATGTTTGTAAGCTATTGGCGACGATCATTAACAAATTTAAGTTTCCCTGACCTATATAACACTGATTCAAGGTCTTCCTTCTGGTTATCAAAACTCATGAACAATTTATACACAAAGAATTAATTTAAGAATTAAAGAAAATTTAAAGAATAGGTATTAAAGAATAATTTAAAGAATATTTTTATTTTAATTTAAGAATTTTTAAGAATTGATTTAAGAATTAATTTTGATTCCTGACTTGGATGATGCACAGTTATTTAATTTCATTTACGGATACACTACATTATTCCACTTGCGATTAATTAAATCCGTTATGTAAGAAAATCGTTTTTAATCTCACTTGGTTGGGATTTGCCTTCAAAATGTGATCGGAAATGGTTGCGGTATTTGTAAACAACATTTCTAAACATATCAGTGACAGCTAGAAAAAATAATCTTAATCCGAACAGCTGTTCGTTATTTCATAGATGATTATGTGATAAAAATTGGACGAAAACATGACAAAAATCGCACAAAACTGCAATTTTGAACGTCCGTAATTTTATTTACAAAATAGTGAGGCCATATTTTAATGGCTAAAGACACTCTCGCTAATCCAGTGAATACATTAAAATGACTTGGATCTTGATAGATACTCTCGTTTTCCTGGAGAAGATTGCGTAAAATGCCATCTTGAGTGTTACAGAAAGACAGACAGACAGACCAAAATTTAGATGAGACTTGTTTTGGCTTCTTTAATGTATAAAACGTAAAACTAACCTAAAAAATTATGATTCTGAGCAATGCACAGACAAAACTCTAACTTTATTTATATAAATAGGCCAAATGTGATTTTGCAAACAGATCATGAACCATTAGTTGTCATATTTGGTACGTGGTGTTCCTTGTTTAGCAGCAGCAAGACTACAACGGTGGGCGTTGATTCTTTGTACAAAAAATGTTTAGGTGAAGTACAGGAAGGGAGTCGACTTGCCTCACGCGGATGCTAAGATCTCGTCTGCCACTGCCTGTGGAGGACACTCTGGAAATGGAATGTAACAGCGTCTCCCATGTGGACAACTGTGTGGAAGTATTTCACAATATGAAGGTCAATGATACTCTAAATACTGCTAAGGAGATAGCCAAGTATACCCAGACAGATCCAGTGTCAGCAAAGGTTAGAGATTTTGTATGGCATGGTTGAAGACAGGTTTCGGGCCAAGAGTTGGTACCTAATTTAGGGTGGAGGAATGAGCTGTCAGTAGAAAATAATTGTGTTTTGTGGGGATCAAGAGTAATGGTTCTTCGTAAACCTCAATTAGCAGTTACTCGTCTTTTACACGAGCAGCACCCAGGTATAATGAGGATGAAATTGTTGGCCAGAAGTTATGTGTGGTGGCCTGAGTTGGAACAGTCCATTGAAGACACAGCTGCTTCGTGCAGGGTTTGCCAATTTACTAGGAATGCCGTCCAAAAGGTTCCTTTGCAACAGTGGCCTAGGGCTACATGTAGATGACAGCGTATCCATATCGACTTTGCTGAAGACCCAAGCTCCAGGCAGCAGATGTTATTAATTGTTGATAGTTTTTAAAAATGACTGGAGATCTTTATTATGAAATCAACGACTTCACTTAAAATCGTTAAGCGGTTGAGAACCTGGTTTTTGTCTTAAGGACTTCCAAAAGAGTTGGTGAGTGACAATCAAGCTAGTTTTGTTAGAGCTGGGTTTAGAGAATTTCTGGCCAAAAATGGTATCAAGTATACCAGGACTCTACCTTATCATCCAGCTTCCAATGGTGTGGTGGAATGTTGCGTTCAAGATGTTAAGCAAGGCCTTCAAAACCAATTTTGGATTCACGGTACTGTGATCATGCCTTACAGCACAAACTGGACAACTTTTTGTTTGCATATCGCAACATTCCTACTACATCTACGGGTCTATGCCCTGCGGAACTGTTTTTACAGTGGAAACCCCGTACCAGGTTTGCAATTTTAAAACCCAACTTAGGTGCAACGATTGAAAACAAACGTGAGGTGCAGAGGAAGGCAGCGGACGCTCACAGAGGAGCGCCTAGATTTTTCTTGGAAGGGGAAAACGTTTTGGTGAAGACTGTTAGGCAGGAGAAGGTCAATTGGGTTCCTAGCAAGGTTTTGGAGAGGAAGAGTCCGGTAACTTACATCGTCCATGTGTTAGGCAAAAACAGATTTTGCCATTCAAATCATCTACGAGCAAGTCAGCTTGAGGAGGACGATAACATTATTATTGCCAGGCCTGATGTTGGTACCCTTATTAAACTACTATCACCCACGCCATCACCGACGCACGTCTCGTCAGCAACACCTGCATCTACTTCGCCGCCAAAGGCTAGTTCCCCTCATTCGAGGCCATCTTCTGTGGCAACGGAGCCTCTGGGGACCTCAAAACGAAAAAGTAAATCGGTCCCGGGTCCAAGTCTTACCATGAGACCTACGGTAATAGCTTTTCCCCTATATGGGAAATTTGCTAAAAAGATATTGAACAAGGTAACAGTTTATTTTGTTATATTTTTAGTAATTTTTTTCATTATCGCCGTGTTTTGTAATGTTGTGAGCTTCAGTGGTCGCAATCTATCGTATAGTCCATTACTATTATATCACCATTCTCATTATACCAAACCATTTCCATACGGTCGTGCCATAGTCATAAGATCGTAAATGGTATTAATATACCTTATTACTAAATGTAATTTAACCATATGATATTATTACATCTCACCATGTCAGCGAACTTGTTGACTTCTACGGTGAAGGTAACTTCTCCTCGCTCGTACTTCTTGTTGTGTTTACGGATGTACTTGAGATTTTTCATGAAGATTTTCTTTCTATATTTCTCCGACTCAGCTTCGGATCCTTCATTATTGTACTCTTTATTATATTCGATCTGAAAATGAACATTATTCGTTTCACTGATTTATGAATATACTGTCATTGACTTATTGAAAGCTATATAAACAACTTTTAAAACTGAATAAATCCATTTGGTGATACTTATAAACGCTTGATTTTGTATCCAAAGTTGTATGTTTAGATTAATTTAAATTTATGCTTCATCCACAACTTCACTTCACAACTCAATTTTACTCAAACATTTTTCTATACTTAATATCTCTGACGTAAACACAAACAATGAAATAAAATTCCTTTTAAGTTGAGCTAATTTTTATGCCAAAGTTTGTCATTTTGTGGCCATGTGATCACAAGAAAAACTCATTTTTTTAAATTTTGTTTCAGAAGCAAATAACCTTTTTTTATGAAGATGCCTTACCTTAAATAGTTCCCATTGGGCCTCGTCCTCCTCGGAGTAGGCGATGCATCCCAAGTAATCCAAAGCAACAAGGGCCAACAATAGCAACAGCTTCATATTGACTACAAAGCAACATTTGAATAATAAACAAAAATTTTGGCCAGTTTTAAAATGAAAGTTTAAGTAATCTGCTGACAGATTGCATTAATGGAAATTACTTATTTCTGCCTCATATGTCCTAGTACCAAACCCGCAGACTAAAAGACAGCTTTAATTGAATAATCTATCCAAAATTTACTCTTTTTAGTAATCTCTAATCTCCTTACAAATATCTATAAGTATAAAAGAGTATGTTTGTTTGTATATTTATATATTTAGCAGTTTTTATAAATACTGATATTGCTGGACCGAGGGCCACAAAACATACCTGTAGAATTTCATGGAATATGTCTATACACCATCAATTTCGTGATAACGCTTTTAGGGTCTAGCCCTGGGACTACCTTAAAGGTACCCATGGCGGGAATTTTGAAAGAACATTTAACTAAAAGCAAAGAATACTAGAGGACCCATGCTGCTCCGTAGCGTTGAAATAAATATCATTTCAAAAAATAATCAAATTTATGATTTTTGATTGAGTAATACAGTATCTTGAACTCAACTGATTCAAACGAACAATGGCTCATTTACATTATAAAATATTTAAATAGCTCAATTAATGCCTATAATCAAATATTACATATGCTAACGCAAAATAGATATTTTACCTTACGGCAAAATTGTGCCAAGTTGTTTTTGGATGGGGCCACCTTCTCGTAGTTGGGTGGTCCCTCAACAGAGGCGCTGTGTTAAGTCTCGATCTGCATTACCATTCAAGTTCGGGTGAGTTCGGTAATGTTCGCGTGCTCGGGATTAACTTTTCTGTACCATTGCTAATGACTATACTGAGGCCTGTCTGTACGCAACGCGTTTGCCGACCCGTCGTCATCGTATCTCTTGTTGAAAGCGCACAGCTATCATTAATGTACCATAACCTTATCTTTTTACAAAAATGGCAGTTATTTAATTTAAAATCAAAGTGACCGCGTAACAAAGAGCAAAAGGATACTAAAGGTTTACTGATATAAACATGAATTGATAAAAATCTTCAAAAATTGCATTCACAGTGATATAATAAGCTTACAATGTTATATTAGTTTTTCTGTATTGAATTTTTACGTGCATTTAGAGAACTCTTAACAATTTAGAAATTTATAAATCTTGCAAGTATTAATAATTAGTGACAATTTGTGAGTTCGTCAACTTTTCTGCTTTCGGAATTTTGACCCACAATGTTTGCTTCCGGATTTCTAGACTCACGCAATATCTTGCTACTAACTCACGATGAGGAATGTATGGTAGTCAACTACTACCTAACCATTCACTGGCTACTTGACCTTTTTAAACATAGCAATATACACATAGTTTGTAGGAAGAACATTTATCTACAAAGATCAGCATTTGTTTTCAAACTAAGTATTATCTCGTCACATTATTGGTGTTTTTAAGTGCCGTTTGCAACAGAGCTTCGAAGAAAATGCAGAGCATAAGATATAAAATATAGATTTTAGATTTGGATTGTTTTATATAACAAATCTTTCAACTGACGACTATATAAAATAAATTTAAGAACACATAGTTTTAACAACAGCGGAATGTTAGTTGTATATAAATTAAAGAGGTTATCTTTACCACGTAAACACGATATTTAGGTTGGAAATTGGAGGTCAGTCACACCCTCGCAATCACACGAAAGTGAACTATAACCCGAGTGACCCGACATCCCAATTTACTGGTATGGCCTGTTTTAAGCATTATATTAAACAATAGGTCGAATACTTTGTACCGGAAGCCTGTAACTACATTTTACAACAGCCATTTATGGTAAGTTCCTGAATCAACATTAAGGCATTGTATTGGCATAGCCAGGTTTGGATTGGCGCGCCCTGGAGCAGAAATTGCCTAACCACCCCTCTCCAAATTTGAACCCTATAAATATATAGCCTAGGATACTTTATTTCCCTCTTAGTGGTCTTCGTTGATAAACATTTAAACTACGACGTTCAACGTACGTCTATTTTCAATTGACAATAAATTACAAATTATTGCATAACAGTATGATGAAGGTAGTTAATAATATATTTCGGAACTCTATCATAACTGTTATCATAAGGCAGACTCTAAAGATAATGAGACATTGGCAGTAGAAATACTGGTGAATTTATAGCTATGCGATGAAGGGGCTGCCGCGAGACGGTGGTGATCGTCTGTAGAGGCAGTAATGAGTGCAGACTGCTGAGTGACAACTGGTGTACATCCATAGTTTGTTAGTAAATAACTTTAGGTACAACACAGTCATGTTGGTACAGCTTCCTTTTTACTTCTCATATTGTTTATAAAGCGGTTAGGTTCAAAATGCAGTTCACACACTAAACGTGAATGTAAAGCAGTGTCGGGAAGGCATTGCCGTTTTTTGATTGCCATGTTTGCCATTTATCACATAGGCAGCTACATTCGTCTTAATACCTGGTATTGTTCATGAAAATATCCACATCATAATACAATTGTAATTCACTACACATAATACTAAAACTTCTTCACTCTTGCTAATCCATCTTCTAACACACCTCGTGTTACTTACATAAGCAAAAGCAAACAACCATAAATAAAAGGTTAACCATAACAATAAACAACAACAAAAAATACGTAAATAACAGCTGGTCGTGTCGGCAATGAGGTCTTAGGTTGTGAAGACATTCGCTAGGCTTCGCATGGAAATTGATATCACAAAAATGGCTTGGCTGCAATATCTACTATAATTTACTGATTATTTTGATTTCAAAACATTAAAAAAAAACATAAACAGTACAGGAGCTATTATTTTTTATCATATAAAAACCTTGTAAAAATAATAATTATGTTCAATCATAGAAAAGCCTTATACGATTTGTTATTGACCTTGCGTTTGTTTAAAAAAAAAACAACTCAACTTGAAACTCGTTCAATTTGAATTACTAATAGCTTAAATGCTAGCAGGTATTTTACTGAATGTTCTTAGACCAAAATATACAGGATAATATAATTTTACTGGTGAAATACATTTTAAATTGGAGTAGTTTAAAGTTTTTGGTCGAGTTATACAGTAGAAAATATATACACCGATACCTTATGTGAAATCTGTGCGTGCATTTCTTCAATTTGACAAATCAATATTGAAAATCGGCCAAGTAGAGAGAGATTCGGTCAAGTAAATGAACTTGGAAAAGAAAACCCAATTTATATCTCTCATTAGAAAAGCAAGATTTCGTTTACGTATAAACCAAGTGGCAGTAAATAAATATATTCCGATGCTAGTGAGCCGCGACTTCTTTCCATTACCACTTACCATCTTTTATGTACATTTACCGTCTTGTAAATTAACAGTATAAGCGTAAATATATGTTTTAAGTGTTATAAGACTTTTTTTTTTATTCACTTTCAGTAAATGTAATAACACGTACATTGCTGATCAACAAGTTTTTTAAGTTGTGGCTTGTAAATATTTTGTATTAAAAACAATTTAATTTGTGATTACATTTCCTCAGTGCAGTTTTTTAAATAGTTTAATTATAGGGCAAATATTATATAAACAAGTATTAAACAACAATTTAAAAATTTATGGAAAATGCATTAAAAAGCGTTTGCATGGTACCAAACGTATAACCATAAGACTAAGTTACAACTTACCTTTATTTGTTCAATGAAAATAACATAACTGAGCTTTTTCATTGCGGCCAATTTATAGTTATTCTAAGTGAACCAGTTATCTAGTAAGAAATCCAATTAAAACTAAATTACCTTGACAAAGTAAGGAACTTATTCTCTAGACATTATCCATTATCGGGATAGATAACGGGAACGTTTTATCATTGTTCACCACTATTGTTGGTAATTAAAGCTGATCTTTATTTGTTAACAGTCATATGGTAAAACGCAATCGTTTTGTAGACGTACAAAATAATTTAAATTGTAATTCAATTCCAGTCATTTTTAAAAGTCCATTTTTGTGATTCATGGCATTTAAAGAATTATTGTGGACATTTCTTATCATAATTGTACTCCGTTCACAAAAACTAAGGTGGTTTTAGGGGGGAAAATGTTTACTTAATCCTACCTTTATTCTCAGACTATTCCTAGAATATACTTAACTAAGTAGTACAGAATATTCTTTTCAAAATCAAATTAGAATATTCTGAGAACATTCTAGCAAGACATTCCAAAGGAATATTCACTGTGAATAAACATAGAACGATCTGAGAATATTATGAATGTGCCACTAAGTGCCAGCACAATCAGGGCACATTCAGAACATTCTGAGATCGTTCTGGAAATAATATGTGCTGTATCGGTTCAGATTGTTTGCATTTTTGCTACTGGACCACAATGCAATGATGCACAATGGTTTGATTATAATCAATTCCTTTCTTCTGTGCAAATCCCTTGACTACTAGACGGGCTTTATATGGGCTCTATGGATCCATCGACATTTGTTTTTACTTTGTATACCCATTTGCAAGATTAATAAGATATCAATTAAATAAGTTATAACTCGTAATCTGTTGAACCAAAATAAACGCATTATGTACTTTTCTTGTAGAAAATTTAATCTTCTTCAATTTTATAATTTACTATAGTATACAAAAAGTTGATAGTTTTCGAGATATAATCAAAAAACCCAAAATGCGTACCTTTCCCCCCCCCCCTTTTTCCCCCCTCCGCCCCCTGGCTCCTAGGAACCTAGTCCTGGACCTAGGAGTCAGGACTTTTGGTATGTTAACACCCTAAGCCCCCTGAACAAGTTTCTGAAGGAATTGCTTAGTTACCTGCTCACGCACTCTACACCTACTTTTGGATCATTCATTGACTGGACTGTGATTATAGGAAACTGAATCTAAATTTGAAAGACATATCGTACCCTCTCCCCTTGATTGGAGATATTCTCACTTACATGAACGGATGTAAACACTTCTGTACGCTGGATATGAACAGCGGGTACTGGCAAATCCCCATAAAAGAGGAAGACAAACACAAGACCGCATTTATTACGACAGACGGCCTGTATGAGTGGCAAGTTACACCCTTTGGGCTCAAAACTTCACCCGCGGTATTCCAGAAGTGCATGGACCAGGTGCTAGCAGGATTGAAGTGGGGTACCTGTCTGGTGTATTTGGACGACGTGCTAGTCATGGCACCTACATACCAAGTGATGTTGGAAAGGCTAAGGACCGTCTTAGGAAGGCTAAGGGCTGCTTCGATGACTTTAAACCCTACTAAGTGTTCTTTTGGGTATGAAGAAGTACAACTGTTAGTACATGTCGTAAACGCGCAGGGCGTCAGTCCCAACCCTAGCAAGATAAAAGCAGTACAAGATTTTGAGCCTCCTAGGAGACTACGATCTCTCAGAGCTTTCCTTGGACTGTGTAACTACTATCGAGCGTTCGTTCCAAACTTTTCCCAAATCACCAACCCTTTAAGTCAACTAACCCGGAAGAACGTTAAATTTCACTGGGACCAAGAGCAACAGGAAGCCTTAACCCTGAAGGAAAAACTAACTTCGGCCCCTATTCTACGACATTTTGACCCGAATTTGCCTGTCGAATTGCATACAGACGCAAGTGACATTGGGGTCGGTGCAGCGATAATGCAAACTGAGAATGGCAACACACTACCTGTGGCACATGCATCCCGCAGGCTCTATGAGGCCGAAAAGAAATATACTGTGACAGAAAAGGAGTGTATCGCAGTAGTTTGGGCTACCCAATACTTCAGACAGTTTGTATGGGGCCGTAAGTTCACTATTGTGGTCGATCACCACGCACTGTGCTGGCTCGATCGGAATAAAGACATGACAGGTAGAATAGGGCGTTGGGCACTCAAACTAATGGAGTTCCAATATTTAGTAAAGCATAAACAAGGCCGTCTCCATGTAGTTCCTGATTGCCTGTCGAGGAACCCATGTCAAGACTGTGGTGCCAAGGAAGTAGAAAAGACTAATGACATCCCAATGCTGAGATTGGAGATGAGAGACATCAAGAGCATGCAGCGAGAAGATGAGGAGTGCAGGAGGATCTACGAGGCAGTGAGGGACCCGGAGAATGCGACCAGTGCCGACCGTAGACTACAGAGGAGCTTCGTCATAGAAGGAGGCATCCTTTACAAGAAGAACACCGCTCACATGGGTCACGAGAAGTTGCTAGTGGTACCTAAAAGTTTAAGAGAAGAGATATTATTCGAGTGCCACGACAGCCCATTATCAGGAGGACACTTAGGGTTCAGCCGGACATTCTTCAAGATTAAAAGTCGATATTATTGGCCCCACATGGTTAAAGATACCGAGAAGTATGTGCGGTCATGCCCTGATTGCCAGACCAGAAAGACCCCAAAGATGGCGCCAGCTGGACAGTTACAACCTATCCCAGTTGGACAACCCTGGGACAGAGTGGGGATTGACTTCCTAGGCCCGTTTAATAGAACTAGAAGTGGCAAAAAGTTTATTATCGTGGCTATTGACTATGCAACCAAGTGGGTTGAGGCGGAAGCCACAAGCTCGAAGCAACTGCGAAGTTTCTGATTAATAAAATAATTTGCAAATTTGGATGTCCGAGGACAATTTTGAGTGACCGTGGATCCAACTTCACATCAACAATAGTGACAGAACTTTTGAAGGGGTTGGGAATCCGCCCTTCATTCACAACTGCATACCATCCAATGTGCAACGGTTTGGTAGAGCATTTTAACGGGACGCTAGCACAGATGTTGTCCTTCTATGTGGGCACAGACCAGTGGGATTGGGATTTGTATGTTAACCTTACTTGCTTCAGTTAACACGTCACGGCAAGATACCACGAAACACACACCTTTCTACCTTATGTTCGGTAGAGAAGCGAGGTTACCCGTAGATACGATGCTTCGGCCAGCAGAAACTATAGAGCCTGAAGTGGAAGAAGTTCTAGAGAAAGTGCGAAAGTGCCGAAAGGACGTGGAAGGCATAATTCAGCAGGCCCAACGCAAACAAAAAGAGAGGTTTGATCGAACCCATCGTGCGGTAGAGTACAAGGAAAACGATCTGGTTATGGTGTTTACCCCCATTAAGAAGAAAGGAAGATCGACAAAGCTGCTACATCGTTGGCATGGACCATACCGGATTGTGAATAAGAAGACCGACTTGGATTATGAGATCCAGATACCACCCCGAGGGAAGCGGATGGGCTACATAGTACATGTGTCTAGACTGAAACCTTACACCGCTAGGTCGGTCGAGTGAGACCAATAAGGAAAGACTCGTGGGTGTTGGTGCTCAGCATGTAGTTTATAGTCCCGTGAGAACTATAGTAGTTGCTAAGAAAATTAATAGTAAAATATATATATATATATATATATATATATATATATATATATAATAAAAATAAAACATTTTCATTTAGCGATGGTAGGAGAACTAAGGTGTGCTAAACTAATAGACCGAATAGACGATAAATCGTGAAACCTAAGTGCTGTGCTCCGAAACAAAGTGCTGACGCTTGAGGGTCAAAGAACAATGACCAGGCCAAGTTAGGCGGACTACAGGAGGCATATTTCACTCGGTTAGTAACAATCAGTTCGGCAAGTGCGCTCTCATCCACCTAGCAATTAACATAGACTGTTTCTTTGAAATAGTGTTATCTCTGTATTTTCTCATAACATATTAAGTTAGGTTTAAATGTACAGTTAGTTGTATTTTTGTAATATTGTGTCTAGCATTTTAAAAGTGATCATAACTTGTGCTGTGTGTGTTTGCAGAGGGAGAAGTGACCAACTCCAGGATGAAGTACAAACAGGGACAAGGAATGATAATGGTGATGTTGAGCCTTACCTTATTACTATTTGTTATAGGTGCTAAAAGTAGGGAGACCATCCCTATTTCAGTTACGTTAGGTATTGGCGAGAGGTCACACCCGTGATGTATGAGTCGTCGGTGCCGCTCATGTATAAGAGTCGGTGGCCAAATGTGGACATGGCGTACCTAACGCTGCCTAGAGTTAATGGTTTTTGTAATAGCACAGCTAACGATCCTGAATGTTTACTATTTTCGTGGATTTTTCAGACTGACAAGTTAGTAGGGAAGCAGCTCAAATGGTTAAACTCCAGTCTCACAACTGAGGAAACAGGGTCAGCCGTAGATGGGGCCTTTAGAGCTAAAAGGAGTTTAAATTTTATAGGGGACTTTGCTCATTATTGCTGTGGTGTGACAACAAAGAAACAACTCAGGCCGTTGTTTACTAATCAAAAGGCTATGGCTGAATTTGAAAACAGTTTACAGGGTAGGCTCGCCGAGGCGTTTGCGGAGATAGAAGATACTAATCTAAATATGCAAAATTACAGCAGACAAGTAGAATCGGTATTTACACAGATTATTGATGCAGGGTTAAATATAACTAAAATAATTGATCGATTTCAGAAAATGGAGTTCATAGCGGAACAGAAAAATGACCATAAAAGCTTCAGTTTGTTACAGTTGGGAGCTCATCATGTTATTAGACAACTCCAGACGATCCAGCTAGTGACTCGTCTAGAAATTCAGAGCCAGTGTCGAGAGAAGAAAATTCCTAACTCGGTTATAACTATTGATAAACTCAAACATGATTTGTTAGATCTATCTAGTTCCCTGGCAGAGGGCAGAGAGTGTTTCAAAATACTTAAAATTGGAGATTGCTGATTGTGTAATTTTAGGGGACGACATTTTAATTAACCTAAACATTCCTATTAGGAAGCGGGATTCAGATTGGAAGC